AGAAGGAACGGGCTAGCTGAAGTGTGGAAATAGGGCTCTTTCCGCCGGAATTACCGACGAATACTATGCTGATTCGATTTTTGGTGACCTATACAGCGGTAATGAGCCGTTGTGTTTAAATAAGTTGGCGGCTAATACGATGGTATAAATGCCGGTAATTTCCGACGCATTATGCACCGGTATAACAAACGTACCGGCGAATTAACCGGCATTATATACGATAGAAACGTTCCAGCGTAATATACGCCGGTAATTACGCCAAAATTATTCCAGCGTAATATCCACCGGTTAAACCGCCGCTTTAAGTGACATAAACAGATTTGCCGGAAATAAGCAGTTTTGCTGTAGTGATTGATCACTTTAATATTAATTTCTTATTTCTTGTGTAGCCTATTTTTCCTCCTATTTAATCCCTACAAGATCATTGATTGGGTTTATTGCAACTTAAATCAAAATATTGATCAATAACAAGGGATGAGAGTGAAGCTAGGGTTTTTCTATTCTTTGTATGAGAAATTAAGGAGGAAGAGTGGCACATTTTTTAGTACGTATGCGAGTTCGAGAAGGATATTGGGCTAGGGTTTCACATGAGGTCGATGGAGATTTCTTAGAGTAGAAGATGGTTAAGAGATTCATCTCTATGAAGATTACAGGAGAGGGATCATGAGGCATTATATGACAATAAAAATTAATATATTTATTGCATAATATTGGTGATGAACATGCCACTTTTTTCAAGCATTTTTGGTTTTGTGTGCCAAAAAATATTTTAAATTGGTGGAGCCATCAAATTAGTGAATTCACTTTCAACCTCAAACTACTTCCTACGCATATTGATTCAAAAATAATTAGTCTACTATGAGTGAATATTTTCACATATAATCAACTAACACAATCAATAGATTCCCAATTATTCCTTGAAAGTAGGGGTGTCAATATTTGACACGACGCGAAAACTCGACACGGACCCGACCCGTAAAATCCAGGTTGGACCCGACCCTTTTTAAAAATGGGTCGGGTTCGGGTTGACCTGACGGGTTGGCGGGTCAACCCGGAAACTTGTTTAAATTGGCTGCCCGCGAGTTCGTGACCGCGCAGGCGCGCTGCAGCGCACCCGGCCAGCGTCGCACCCGCCGCCCGCGCGCTCGCTCGCTCGAGCACCCGCACATCGCTCGCTCGCTTGCATCCCGCGAGCTTGCTTGCATCCCACGATCGCTCCTTCCCGTGTCGGGTCGGGTCAACTAGGCAACCCGCCGGGTCAGGTCCGGGTTCGAATATTCAACCTGTTTACCTACCCGGGTCGGGTTAGGGTCGACCCGATTGAACCCGGGTCAGTTCCGGGTTCAACCCGAATCCGACCCGTGACCCGAAATTGACACCCCTACTTGAAAGCCCCTTCAATAAAGTAAGAAGTTTGATTCTTAAATGCAAGAGGACTCTGAATAATTTATCATTTTCTTATCAATCAAAGAATGTAGTATATTCAGTAGAATAGGACCCTCTTACCTAAGGCCGAAAGGTGGAATGTTTATAGAAGATAGCCATTGCCTTTTTTAGTAATTCAATATATCAAAGTGCACATGATATGTTATTTTTAGGAGTGTGTTGAATTTTTTGGACCTTTGATGAAGAACAATTTGGCTATTGGATATATTTGACGAAAAGAATCATTTTGCATATGCAATTCTCAAGCCGCATTCTTAATGTTATACCCTTGATCTATAAGACTAGTGTTAGATATGATGAGGAGCTCTTCATTTAGATATATTTTCTTTTTTAATAATCATAATGATTATGGGTGAGCTCTTCATTGAGATATATGTTCTTATGTCATCATGATGAAATTATGAATCGTAGGATATTGAGTTTGTTGCATGCTAGAATATACGCGGCGATAGAGATAGGATTTTTCGTCTCAGCATTGTACGGATATCCAGCACACAAACAGAAGTGAAATAACATACAAAGATTTTTACGTGGAAAGCTCTGGAAAAGGAAAAACCACGAGGCCACACCCAGTTAAAAGAATTCCACTAGTGTTTGCTTGAGTTACAAGAGTCTAACTCATCCTAAAAATTTAGGACGATCAGATTACAATAATCAACTCTCGGGTTGAAATTCAGTTGCAAACGGATATGAAAATGCTGATGTCAGAAAACTAGTGTTCGTTGTTTGTCGGATAGAGTTCTAACGTTACTTAGAAGTCGGGAGGAACTCTGGTGTTACTTGGAGGTCGGATGAAACTCCGGCGTCACTTGGAGGTCGAGCGGAACTCCGGCGTCACTTGAAAGTCGGGCGGAACTCCGCCGTCATTTGGAGGTTGGGGGGAACTCTGTCGTCACTTGAAAGTCAGGAGGAACTTCAGCATCACTTGGTGGTTGGACGGAGAGGAACTCCAGCGCCACTTGAAGGTCGACCGGAATTCCGGTGTCACTTGAAAGTCAAGAGGAACTATAGCTGTAGTCGAGGAGGAGCTTCTTCCTTCTCTTCCCTTCTTCTCTTCTCTTCTTCTCTTCTCCTTGCTTGGGTCCCCTCTTAAGAGAAATGATGGACTATTTCTAAATTTTTTGAGGATGGCATGGCCAGTAAATAGAAGAAAGATCGGGTGTAAATTGAGAGTGGTTTGACTGGACGGCCGATGTAGAATCCATTGATCGTGTAGAGAATTTATCAGGCATTTGAAGGCTCTAATGATATCGGAATTTGACGATCTTGGACTCGTTGGATTCGTCTCGTCGAGCCGCTCAGTTCCACTATAAGTTTAACTAAAATTGGAGTTCAGATGATCCCATATTTAATTTTGGAAGTTTTCAACTTGATTTTGCCTCAAGATTCGCGCCCGATCAAGATAATTTTTTGAATGGCAATTATAAACCTATTTTAGTTTCTAATGATATTATTTAGATCTAAATTTGTGTTGAACTTGAGAAGAACGAGTGATTGATTTTTACATCAAGAAAACTATTATCTCATCCTTCTCTCAATGATAAATTCAGTGCACATTGATATCCTTCACTAATATATATGATATATTCAATGCACCTTGATGTGAATTTTAAGGTAGTCTAAAGTCGAAGGAGCACAGTCAAAAGACCTATTTCTTAAATAAAAATCTAACTATTTTATGAATTATATTAGTCCATATTATTTTTTCTTTTTTTCCTTTTTCTCTAAAAATCTATCATTTTTTATTTTATTAAATAAAATAACACCTAGTAATTATAACTATAATCTATATATATCTATTATCATCCTTCTAATAATTCTCAAATATATTTTCTCATTATTTACTCAGTTAAATCCTCAAATATTAAGAATATCTTATATCACAATTCATAAAAATAAAAATAAAAAAATCCTTTCTGTTTATGTAATTCATGCATTTTTTTTGAAATTGGATTTCAAAAGATATTGTTTAAACCTTCCAAATATGCAACTAAAACTAACTCAATCTCTTGCTATTATAAATAAATTCTATAAAAAGTAGTCATTTAAACACTATGTACTGAAGCCCAGTCTACCAGGCCTTAGCGTTGCTCCAAATATGTTAGCAGGCCCGATCCATTTGGTTGATCTTGTTAATGGGTTTAGCTGGGCCCAATGTGATCGAAACTTCAAACATAACAAGCCCAACAAGCAACCTACGGAACCATACACTATCTTGCTTACCCTACCTACATTCCTCATGGCAAAGAATTTTTATTAGGTCCGGTGTCCTGACATAGCTCTACATTCAGACACCAGTAAAATGATGCCACGTGCTCTTGATAATTAAGAATTTGAATTATTACAATAAAATTTCTATGCCAGGGTTTCGATAGAATTTGCAATATTATTTCTCCTTGTAGAACTACTAATAAGACCTCTATCTTTTATAACAAAAGGCTTTGCATCCCAAGCAATCACATCCCCCTACCTACTGATCATGCATTTTTATTTTTTATTTTTCCCATATAAATAACTTGCATGTCAAGATAAAAAATCATGCTGCATGTTGCAACCCCATTATACTCATGTCTCTATCTACCACATTTGCCATTTTTTCTTATATAAAAGAGACTGCTTAACATATGCATAAGTTGCCTCAATATAGAGGAAGGCCTGAGACAATACATGCAATCCCTCTCAATACTAATGTTAAGCTTTTATCGCACTACGTGAGGTCGGCTATATGAATCATTTTTTCCATTATGCCATGTTTAAAGTCAAATTCTCAATCAAATATAATAAAGAAAAACTATTTCTAATATTTTATAAAAAGTCTATTTAGATCTACCTCTATCTTTCTTAATATAAGTCAAATCTAATACATCTACTCTTTTAATCTGGTCTTCAAAAAACTGTCATTTTATGTGATCAAATCATCTAAGACAACTCTCTCTAATTCTATCTTCCACTGGAACAACTCCAACCTTTTCACATATATTCTCCTTTCATATCCTATCTCTTAGAATAAAACCACTCATCCACCTAAGCATCCTCATCTCTGCAACACTTAACTTAATATTATGCTTCTCTTTTAATGGCCAACATTCTAAATCATAAAGCATTGCAGGTCTCACCGCCATCTTATAAAATTTACGCTTAAGTTTGGGAGAATAACTTTTCTATCACACAACAAGCCCGATGCATTCCTCCACTTCTAATGGCTAAAGAAAATCCAACATACATACAAACTCCAATGACAGTGCTATAAGACTGATATTATTTGCAAGCTTTCAATAAAAACTATGAAAAAAGCTTATCAATGTCATTGGCATCTCCTTCTACTCAAAATAAGACGAACTACAAGTCCAGTCTCAAAGAATGAGGAGGTCTCACTATGACAATTCAAACCCATTAAAAGTAATATAGATGCAAAGCCATGCAATTATACAGACATTCTCCCCACAGGAATTCATATTGCTCAAACTCCGACAGAATACCGTTACACAAATTCAAATTTTAAAACCAAATATATTATTTAAACTGTCAATAAATCACTTCAATCCCCACAGCAATTTAAACATTAAGTAAATAATAATTTATAGCCATCTGGAATCAAGATAACATAGTTCTTCTTACTCAAATGCAATGAAATAAAGGAAGAGGAAAAATACTATGCTCTTCAAATATGCGACTAAAATAAAGTTAGAAGTAGGATATTGTAAAGTCTTGCAATTCTACCAACCAAAGCTCACAAAATCGGGACTATCTATTTAGCCTTGGCTGTGCCATTGACTACAACAGCATCTGCATTCGGAGAAGGGTTAAGCTCATCCCAGGCCTCAATCCATGTAACCATGGCATCTGCAAGCTTGTTGAAGTAAGGATCAACCTTGCCCAGCTTGTCCTTCACCTGCTTTGAAAGTTCAATATAGCATTTCTGGACAGTGTTGGATTCTTTAGTGAGAGTCGCAGACTGGAAGAAGGGAATCAACTCTTCTTGCCAGAAGATGCCATTGTATTCCTTCTTGAGGTTCACAAATGGGTTGCTAGCTTTGCTATGCCAAATGTATGGCAACCCTGTTTTCACTCCCAATCCCAAGTGATCGCAGATCACCTGCTCATAACGGTTAATAAGATGTCAGGTAATTCAAATAAAAGTTGGCTAACGGTAAGAAAATAACTAATGATGTTAATTCTGTGGAAGGTTCAATAACATACAAATAACCAACTAGGACTTGTTTAATAATAAAATAACTAATGATGTTAGTTCTATGCAAGGTTCAATCACATACCTTTATACACCAACCCGCCCACATATCGTCGTACCGGCCAATAGGCTGGCCATCACCCATAAGGCCGAAGTACATCGCAGGGCCGATAAGTTCACGGTTGAAAGCTAAATTCATACCGCACATGGGAAACAAGGTCCCTTTAGGGATCGTGAGAACCGCATCGACATACCTAAAGAGAATTCAAACACACATAAGTATTTTAATTAATCAAACAAAGTTACAATGAGATATTGCAGAAGATGGTACCTGGTATTTCTTTCCAGGGGTTTAACAAGCTGGGTGGGGGCATCATAGTCAGGAATGTTGAGCCAAAGGCCATGAGATACTGCAGTTGGTGCACCTTGTCTAAGACTGAAAGGATATCCACGAACAAAGTCTGCACCTTCTCTGAAAGGATCGTAGAGAGTATTAAAGAAGAATGGAGTGGAAGGGCTCAGAAGATTCTTTACGTGCTGCTCAAGAGCATTGATCTGTTTGCCTGATGGATCTTTGGCAACCTATTTAAACAAAAAATTTAAGAATAAATAAAACAATTTAAATTTACACATAGGCAAAGAGCCAAAAATAGGAGATGATTAATGCTGTCAGTAGAAAGAGAATCCAAACTTGGAGATGATTAATATCTTCAGTCTATAAGCAAACTCAAATTATGTAACTTTGACATAGCTGATCCCTCATTAATAGTTCAGAATCAATAAGAAACAAACAAGCCATGTGCAAGGAGCCTAACCACATGATGTTGGCATGATTACAAAATCAAACTTGGAAATTAACAACAAACTTCATATCGTGAAATCCAATGATTTTTAAGGGTTCGTTTGGGACAGCTTCCTTAATGTTTTTTAAAACAGTGTTTTTGTTAAAAAAAAAAATTAATTAAAATTTTTTGTACTAAAAAGCTGTTTTAGAAAGCAATGAGAAAGCTGTCCCAAACGAAGCCTAAATCAGATAAACTATCAAAATTTGCATGGAGGGAAAAAATTGCTAGCTTAAATGTCAAAAGAAATCTTAATGAAACCTTCTTGACTAACAAAAAGTGGACCATCGTGGACCATTGTGACATAAGTTAGGTAATTTAGTAATGAATTTTTGGAGATTCCAATGGTTAAAAGGTCAAAGGATATTAAAACAACTTGATTCCATAATTGGCAACAAAAAATATAGTCAATATATATAATATATCTATCAATGAAGAAACAAGGCCAACAAAGAAACTGGTGTAACATGCTAGAGTAGAACAGCTAAGAAAAAGTTATAAAGCTGATTGATTTGTCATTCATAGCAAGAACATAAAGATCTATACCCAAAATAAGTGCTCATACAAACATCTTCAACCAAGAAGAAGACGAAGAAGAAGCCGTTATCCCAGTATGTGGGGTCGGCTACATTAATCCTTTTTCTCAATTGTGTCTTGTTAATAGTCAAATTCTCATTTAAATCTAATAAAGAAAGATCATTTTTAATATTTGCTAACCAAGTTTTTTAGGTCTACCTCTACCTTTCTTAACATAAGCCAAATCTAATAGACTAATACATCTACTTTCCTAACCGGGTCATCGGAAGACCGTTGTTTTATGTGATCAACCATCTAAAGCGACTCTCTCTAATCTTATCTTCCATGTGAGCTACTCTAACCTTTTTATGTATAAGCACAAATATCTTCAACCATCACAGAATAAAAATATTTAAGATGAATAAGCATCCTCACTATACAGCAATTAAGACAAAAAAAAGATCACAATATTCAACATAAATTTCTTAAAAGGCATAAGAAATATGACATTGAATGATCAACCAAATCTTCAAAAACAAAGATGTGCATAAATTTTTTTAGAAATATATGAAGCATAAAAGAATATATAGAAATGCTCAAAAATACAAATATTATTCCCATATATTCATTAAATATTTCTCTTAACTATTGTGCCTACTTCTGATTGAATGAAAAAAAAAAAAAAAAATTAAGACCAACAAAGCTCAATTACAACATTTTTATGCACATATCACTGATCAAACTAACATCAATATGACTTTCTATCATCTAAAAAACAAAAGATTTTATAAAAGCAATACTTAAATTTTCACTACTAAAGGAGAATGCCTTCCATCTAATCCATAATCTAATAGATCCATCACATGGCTTAAAATCCCTTCTATAAATAAAAGGAAAGCTCAAGATAGAACATTACCCCAACAAATTGGGATCTACATTATGAATCTTGAGTTTCCATTCGTTCATGTTATGTTAGATCTACTCATATTTCTTCATAACCTCCAACACTAATTTTATCTACCCAAATGTAACTTCAATCATTACTTTAATGAAATCATTCATTAATTTATATTTTCTAATTTTGCTGCAAATCAATCTTAACATTTTCATCGATCGCAAGCTTAATTTAACTATCGACAACATTTTCATTGACCACTGCACAGATCCATATATTACCAGATCTAAAAACAAATAATAAATTTACCATAAGGTTAACAAAACAAAACACTAAAATCAAAATTCTGCCAACAATAACCGGCACACATATCCTAAACAAAACACAGAATTCCAAACCCACAAAAAAATCTCATCTTTCCCCAAAAACTACCAAATCCAAGATCCCAAATCCTTAATTCATAAAATAAGAAAAGAGAAGTGAAGACTCACAAAGCAGTCATCGTCGATAGTATAGATGTATTTCTTCTTAGACACCATGTAACCGAAGCATCGACATGCGGAATCCTTGAAGGAGATACAAGCGGCCTTGGGTCCCAGGATCCGATTGATATCGTTGCGGTTATAGAGCTCGTAATCGAAACCCTCGGGGACATTGATCGTCTTCGATGGGTCTCCGTCTTGCACGATGATGAGGTGGTAGGGCTGGAAGAAGGGCCTCCACATCTCCAAAAAGTCAAGGTTTCGGATTGTTGGAATCACGATATCAAGCTCATCCTTCAGAAGCGGAGTAATGGGCACCGAAGGAGGCGAGGGTGCACCGGCCATCTCTCTAGGACTTCGATTTGCAGCGAGATCTACAGAAGAATAGACCTTGCCGAGATCGAAGAAACGAAGAGGAAGAAGAACCAACAGAAAAAAAGGGTTTTTTTTTTCTCTTCTCTTAGGAGAAACGGAGCTGGGTTTTAAAAGACTTTGACACGTGCAAACGGGTCGGGATGTGCGACGGGCGAGCTTGGCACGTGTGAGCAGGAAGCTGGTGCGCTCGGCTTATGCGATCCGGAATAGCCGGAAGGAAAATGGGGCTGTAATTTATTTTGCCAATAAAATGTTTGTTTGTGATCATTTTATTTATTTTAGTTATATTTTAAGATAAAATTAAATTTCTTTAATATCTTAAATTTTAATTATTTTATTTATTATTATTATATAATTTATAATTGGTGATCAATAATGATAATGACCAGCACAAAGGTAATATGTGATGGTGGTGATATGACCAGCATAAATTTTTTAAAAAATATATTTAAAATATTAATAATTTATAATTAAAATAAAAAATAATTAAAATATAATTTTAAAAATAAAAAATAGAAGTAATCCCAAAGAGGCCCTTATTTTATAGCATAATTTTAAATTTATTTTTTAATTAAAGTTTAGTGTATAATAATAATGAAAAAGTTATGAATTTGAGTTAGAAATTCAATCAATTTGAATCGAATTAAAGGCATAAAATATTAACATAATTACAATAATTTTAAATATTAATTCCTTTAATTAACTGCACTCAGTTACTATAGCAATAAATTTTATTTAAATGACCATAAAAATAATAATTGAAAACTTGTTCTTCACTGCATTTGAATGTAATGCTTTATACGTATTGATTAAAAATAAAAACAATATCAAATTAATTTTAGATTTTATTCCAACCCGAAAACTGAGATAAGAATAATAATTTATTTTTTTAATAAAATAATTTTATTTTCATTTTCAAATAAAATAAGAAATTAAACTAATTTTAGACCAATTTATCAATAAAATAAAAATTATTTTCTTTTTTCATTAATAGAACAAAATTTAATAGATCACAGATTTTTTTTTGTGCTAATATATATTTTTTTTTTAGAATTGAGATATTTAGCTGAAACTAAATAAGATAAAATAATAATTAGAAACCCCAAATAAAGATCCGTTCGGATCCTCTCTATCTACAATAACCTGCGCTTTAGCAGGTTACTGTAGACAGAACGGATCTCCCTGTCAGGTGACCTGATGCAATAATTTGCCCCCAAAAACAAATAAATCAGAGCATTTCCGTTCCCACACACGAGAGGAAGAACGGGAAAATAAAGCTGATGCTTTAGAAAGATCTGAGCCGTCCATTGTATGACATCACGTTGACTCGTTATTTGACGCGGTAAGAAGACCTACGGGAGCACGTTAACGACTTCTTCCCCGGCGGCCTGTCGACCCTCAGCCAAGTCTTGTGATTTTGAGTGAGGGATATAAATAATATAAACTAATAATTATAAATCATGAATAATAAACTTAGAATAACCATTATTACATATTAAAAAATTTGCAATGATAAAAATTTTCTACTCAAATCTTTTTATTGCAAATCATTTATTGAGTATTTAAGTATTATGCCCTCAAAATAAAATGATCGATCTAGGGTTCATTGGATTCATCTGGTTGAGCCGCAGGTTTTGACTGTAAGAATGCAAAATTCAAAGACCATTTGATCCTCTGATTAATTTCTCAAAGTTTTTTTTACCATCGTTTAAGTGCTTGGTTTGAGCTCATTTGAATTCAGATCGAATTACCTTTGATATCGTTGGATTCGTCTTGTCAATACATTCAGTTTGACTATAAGTTTACTGAAAGCGAACTACATATGATTCTGAATTTAATTCTAAAAATTTTTATAAGCAGAGGGAGGTGGAACCCATAATAAGTGTGATTTTTTCATAGCTATAAACAACATGTCATAAAAGGAAAATTATCCATCAAAAATCAGCAATACGTGATAATGGTGTGGTGGTGATTGCTGAAGAAATCTATGATTGATGAACGTAAGGCACCATCGTAAAGCTCTTGATGTCATAAAAGAAGAGAAATTCAAAGATAAAAAGCATATATCCAAACTAAGGTTTCATTTGGGACAACTTCCTTACTGCTTTCAGTCAAAAAATTTCATGAAAGCAGCAAAAAAGTCGTGGCCAAAAGCTGTACCAAACAAGTCTAGTTCCATACAAATGTTCCCCACATGTGATGAGTGATTGACCCACTCGACCAATGCAAATATGTTCAAATCGATCGATCCAATACTATCGATACGAAGATAAAATGTGATTATGATTTTAATCAAATATCATATTAATTGGTTATAAAGTTTATAAAATCAATATATATCTAACTTGTTATAGTTATTGTTATAATTTTAAAGTTGTGGGTACCCACTCCTCACTTCATGTTCAATTCCCAACTACTTTCATGAGTGCTATAAAAAAAATATTGGTGGTTGGCTTTGTTCAGAAATATCTACTCAGAGCTTTCAGTTTTGTTCAAATAAGGATAGTTCTCCTTACAGTTTTACTAAATCTGAATGATATCAATTTTATTAATATCAATTTTCTTTTAAAATAATAATAGCATAAATTTATGTTTATTATTCATTCTTAAAATAAATTTAATGACTATGGAATTTATATTGATCAATTTTAATAATCTTATTCCCTAAAAAAAATTTCTCCTAATGAAAAAAAAAAATGAGAATCAAATAATGTCATATTTGTAACAAATAATTTAGAAAAAAATGCCATAATATATAAATTTCACAAATTTTTATTCCTTAAACAATCAAGCAAGAAAATTAGGAAGTGAGAGTACGCTAAGGTTTAGGCTTCATTTGGAACAATTTTTTTTCTAAAACAGCTTCTTAGTACAAAAATTTCTTGAACTATAAATTTAAAAAACTGTTTTAGAAAGCATTAAGAAAGTCACCTAAGGCTTCATTTGGGACGACTTTTTTCCTACTTTTTAAAGCAACTTTCTTGTTGAAAAAAATTAATTTTTTTGCTAAAAAGCTGCTTTAAGATGCAATAAGAAAGTTTTCCCAAACGAAGCCTTAGTTTGGGGTAATTTTCTTACTGCTTTATATATCAATTTTTTAGTTTTCTTTTTTTTTTTAAGAAGAGATAAAGCAATCACCAAAAGCTGTGGGACAGCTTAAAATTTTGTTTGAGACAACTTTCTTCTTGCTTTCTAAAACAGCTTTTCAGTACTAAAATTACTTGAATTTAAAAATTTTGTAATAAAAAGTTGTTTTAAAAAACAGTAAAAAGCTGTCCCAAATGGAGCCTAAGTCTAATTTAGTTCACAAAATATTTCAATTGAAAAGAAAGAGCACTCTCCATCAAATCTAGTTCATCTTCCATTGTGCATTTCTCATGTTGTGAAGGTGTTGATTTCAACCAACTTTTGATTATATTTTTGTACTTTTGCACACCAAAAAATGGTTGCAATTTTGATTAATAAGCAACTAGTTTACTGTTAATAGTTTTGAAAATCATATAATTATGAATTCTAACGGCATTCATAGAATTGAAATTCATATTGATTTGTAATTAATATTTTTATGAATTCAAAGGGAATTTATAGAATTGAAATTCATATTGATTTGTAAGACTATCCCCACCATCTCTTTGGTACAAAAGAACGCCGATTTCATATCGACTAGGGCTTTGTTTGTTTGAGCGTTTTTTTGCCTTTTCCGTTTTTGGAAACGTAGGAATTTTTTTTTTGTGTTGTTTGGTTTGTCAAATCACGTTCCCAATAACTCCTTTTTTTCATTTTTTTGCAGTTTTGAGAAAGCTTTTTATATATGCTTCTCCGTTACAAAACTCCATTTTCTAAACTAATGTTTTTTTAAAATTGTCTTTTACAAAAGCACCAAAAAAACAAACGAAGCCTAGGCCTCCTCCTTCATCCATCGGAATGACTATTATCAACATTAATACCCACAGACTCCATAATGTTGAGAATTAAATAACACTCAACGAAAATAATAATAAAAGAAAATAGTTGAAATAAACATCAGGATTTAATAAAGAAAAACTCAAAATTGAAAAGAAAAATCAGAAAGACACATCACACAAAAAAATTCACTCTAAATTTTAGAAGAAATTGCACAAATCTCTCTCTCACTCACTCTCTCCTTGTCTCATTTCACTTCTTCACACCATTCTTCACTCAAAATAAAAAAATAGACACTTTTCAGACTGACTCGTAGTTAAAAATGAAAAATGAGAAAGAAAACTATTCAGACTAACTCGTAGTGTCGTGACGCCAAGGTTTGAAGCGCCGTGGTACTCCACTCGCTGTCTCCAACCCAACTTGTAGCATTGTGGCGTTAGCTCTAGGACGTTACAGCCCTCTGCTCTCTATCTCTAAGTCAAGATTACAACATAGTCACGCTACATCATACGTCAATACAATGCATAAGTACACAACACTGCAGCACAGTACGATGTTTTTTTTTTTTTTTTTGCAGGAACGAGGCACCCAAATTCCAACCAGGAAGAGGCCACATAGCGAACTAATCGAAGATAATTGAAAACAAATATCACATTTTCTAACATACAACAAGTTGTACCAAAGCTTCCCTATTCAATCACACTCACAATCAAAAGAAAATTTCAGTTAGTAAACCTAACAATTTAATTTTTAATTAAATGCTTAAGTACTTTTGGTGAGAAAGCTGTTGGATGGGATCCACTGTACGTTTTTGACTTTGTCCCATTTAAAATTTCCATTTTAAATACGTTAACAACGAATTAAAGATAATTAATATTGTCGTTAATTATTTTATTCTTAATTAAGCTCAAGATCCCATTCGGTAGAACCGTACTAACAACGTGGAGGCCTCCAACTCATTAGCGGTTGTAATTATTATTGGAATGGGAGCAACATTGCTTTCCAAAGTCCAAAATTATATTTTGTAAGTATAAAGTTTTTTTAATGAGCAAGTTACATTATAGTGA